CCCTAATGTATACGCCAAAAATAAAAACAAAAATACATAGAAAGTTCAGTATATGCCAGCGTTTTAGAAGATTCTGAGGCATCCAGGCATACGCTGGCTAAATCATCAAGGTGCGACAGTTGCTTTAGATAAGAACTGGTACAAAGATTCGAGTCTCAGACCACGTGTCCAAGTTGAGTCTCTGTCGGCCACAGCTGTTAAACTTCCATCTTTAAGAGCCGGTGTGGCTTGTAACTGTGTCATTAGCAGAACTTGTTGAACGTAGCTGCATGAGGAGGTGATTCAGTCTTTTTATTCAGGTGTTTTGGAAGTGATGCCTGTCTAAAGGTAAAGCCAAGGCCTTGGCTTTTACACCTCTGCTTAGGAGCACAGGTCTAAACCGTGTCAAAGTTTTCGGAGACTAAAGAGCAGATTAGACTTCTGCAACCGAACACATCAAATGTCGCTTGGTCCTGGTCATGAACCAGTTTTGCTGCTATGCTTCTGCACCTTCGGTCTGGAATTTCTAGGGATGCACAGCAGCTTCCCGCAAAAGCACAAGGGGGAGCCTCGACAACTCCTCGAGAACTTTTAAGACACCCGGAAGGGCATACCAAGGACCAATCACAGCTGCTTTTTGTCTGCGCACTTCCGCTTGAGGTCTGCGCGGGGTCTGCGACCATCCGACGCGTAGTCAGGATTTTTTAGACGTGCACGACAACTGTTGCAGAACCTCTGCGCGGGGGGCGTAGTCACGCACAGAGACAGATTTGACATTTGCAAAGGCTAGGCATCAGAAGCATAAATTGGCCTTTAAGTGTGACTCAGGTCTCTGTGAAGCAGGGCTGAGCTGCATCTACATCCTTTAGCACAGGTGAGAAACATGGCGGTGGAGGGCTGATGGTTTGGGCTTGTTCTGACACCACAGCCACCTTTAGCTGTGGACCATAACCCGGACTGAAATGCAGAACATTTCTGATCCATAACCGCCTTTCTTTTTCAGAAATAGTAGAGGTTTAATCAGGACAACGTTTTATGCTCCAAACGCTGATTTAATCAGGGAGATTCACCAGAATATTAATCTCTGTTCTTCCTGGAAACATTAATCCCATCCTAACAGGCTGCACAGTAATATTAATCCCAATCTGAATAAAAGGTATGGACACCCTGCTAAATGAGGTAAAATGAAATCCTCAGCTATCCTTTGGGCCTGTTTGTTCCGCTGCTCATACATAATGACCCATTTTACATTTCCTCAGCTCTAACCTGAATTTTAAAAACAATCCAGGTGGTTCAGACTTCAGCGCCTTCATCCCAGGTGTTCCGGGTTCTTCCCCAGCCTCAGTCAGGTTCCACTTGGGTCCAAACTGAGCTGATCAGAGGTGAACAGGGCTGAAGGCATAGACGGACATGTCTCTCTCATAGCTGCCGCCATAAATCCCTTCCTCCCTTTTGTTCTGATCTGTACAGGCCAAACAAATCTGCCCAAAACTCCTCTGGCCTATGGAGTAAATTTTGTGCCATTATTGTTGCAAGTTAAGAACACTTTGTGAATGAAAATAATACTTTTAATAATTTGAAATTTGGGAAAATAAAATAATGACCTACAATTTTTCCGTCTCAAGGAAATATTCCCAGGTGTTGCATTCAGGAACTCTGGAAACTAGAAATGTCTTTAAAACATATATATTTCAAGTTTGTGTGGTTGGTTTTAAAGGAAATAAAATTCTTAGCTGTCTTAGGAGCATTAGTTTGAAACTGAAAAAATCTCAACATGAAAAACCTGAAAAATTGTTCTAAACCTTTTATTTCCTTCCTGTTAAAAGGGAGTTTTTCCTCTCCACTGTCGCTACAAGCATGCTCAGTGTGAGGGATTGCC